TTGCCTTTTTTGAAGACCGGAGTGATGTTGGCTTTAAGTTAAGTTAAATTCCTTTTAACAAACATTTATATATGGCTGCATTTTTTATTTTTGGCTTTCAGTCTGAATTTATCCCTGAAATTGGGATAAATTTTGGCTGATTTATCCCAATCAATTCACACTTGCTGAGAATGTGGGATTAATTCTGCCAGATTTGATTGAAAGAAAAGAATATACCATTAGCTTCATGGTGTCATCAATCTCACGATTTTTTTTTTTTTTTTTTTTTTTTTTTTTTTTTTAAATGTAGAACTATTTCTTCAAGTGCACAGTACTCTTCCACTCTTAGTCAAGCACAAAATCCCATTTCCTTTCTCAAGGAATGCACAGACCTGACCAAATTCATGTAAATTTACTCTTTTCTAATAAAGTATTTGCAAAAAAATATGCTGAGATCTCACACAGTGATAACTTTAGTCTTCTCCACATAATACTCTGCTCCTTCTGACCTTAGCAAAGATCACTGCACTAGAGATTCTGCATATGCTTCTGTATTCTCTTGCCATACCCAACTTCCCAATCTCTGATTATCCAACTAAGACTTTTCCTCACACACTTTTGGTTCTGTAAACCCTATTTATGTCATGGTGAAGTGTTAATTCTTGCAATTCTTCTCCCTTCAGGGAGACAAAGGGAGGAACTGGTTATTCTACAGTTTGGAGCTGTAAGATCCCAGCTGACTGGCACTGTCACCAACCAGGGTAAGAAAAGGATTTAGCTACCTTGATTAGGCCAACATTAACTTCCTTCAGAGTTCTGCACTCTGGGGCTCAATTTCAATACACGTGTTTTAATAAAACGTTACATTTTATAGCKATTAAACTTGACTTTATCATTAAGACTTCACAATATTCTGAAAAGAGAATAACCTAGAGGTTATCTGCAGTCCAGCTATGCTATCAGACATTCAAAGTGATTGCTTTGCTCAAACTCCATGTGAATACCGGCATTCTCTTCTTCCTCAATTCATAAGCAGAACAAGCACAATGAAAAAGCAAGAAGGTAAAAATATTAATTCCTTTTTCAGGGTCCTAGATTGACTTTAAGAAAACACAAAACTACTTAAAATTAACTCAGTTGAGAAAACTCCATTGTGCTTTGTGCCCATTACTCCGACAACCACAAACATTTGAATAATAATGCTGCTAGGAAAATGTAGTTTATTCGTTAAGGTGAACCCGGAATGCCCTGTCTGTGCCTTTCATACACAGGTCACTTCCCATGCAGATGGATGACACAGCAAATAATTCCTCTAATAGGTTATCGTGCTCAATGCTGTGCGTTAAACCTCCATCTGCACAGGCTGCCACTGGCAGAAGACACTTAGGATGGGAACATTTTATCTGAGGCAGCAGCAATGAGAGTGGCCTAATGCACTATACTTTCAGGGCACCTTCCTGCCTTTAGCTAATAGTAGGGCGTGCARGTCTTCCACTAATGCATTACCTCCTGCTCCCTTGCTGATCCTGTGCAACAAAAATAAAAGCAGCTCTATTTCATCCTGAACTTTTAAACTGTCTCTCGGAAATTCCTGAAACTCTCAGCCTTTGGGAAAYAGAATGAGAAATGCTGCATGCTCTTGTCTCATACCTTTCCTTGGAGAACTCTGTGGTGAGGTGGGAGGAGAAGAGAGCTGTGAGGATGCACTTGATACTGTGTCATCGGATTGTTTCTTGTGACGTTCCAAGCTTCCTTCTTCGGATAATGACAGAATTTTCTTTAAAGCTTGTGGGGAGTTAATGCCTTTAAGGAAGAATGAATGTAGGCAGATGTAAAGACTGAGATAAAGATACCTTTGAATTTCACAACGCATTTGTAGAGGGGACACCGCACAGGGAAAACAAAGAAACAATCTCTTTAAATAATTTTCATTTGTTAGTTTCCACGACTAACTTAAACAAGAGTTTTAAATCTACTTCTCTTTAAAATATAGCCCTTTTTTTCTGCATTTTTGTCAAGCCAGTCTTTCATTTTGGCCACCTAAGAGAAATATTTTATCTTGGAAAGTATAATCAAGAAATTGTGTTTCAGATTACTGTGTTTCCAGATCTATAATCAAGGATATGTACAGTAACTGCTACACTTTGTTCAAGTGAACTTGAACTAAAAATAGTGAGAATACACACACGCCCTCAGCTCTCACTGGGTTAGTGAAGATTCACACAGTTTAAACCAAAACTGTMCTTCTGGTTCTTTTTGTATTCACAGAACAGTTCAAAAGGTCRAAGAAAGCTGGGAAAGAAGACAGGTAAGACTAGGCTTAAAAACAAGGTCCTCCTGGAGCTGACCTTCTTCCTAACGCTTCTGAGAACTGTCTCTGCATCAGCCTGTTTTGGGAAGCTGAAGAGTAACAACATCTTAAGAATGATACATGGTGTAAACACGTAGGGCATAAAGAGCTGCTCTTTYGAGACAGAAAATATGTCCACCTCCAGAAACAAACCCAAAACTTTGGGAGAGTTCTGTTTAAAAATGAAGATGGAGCTTCTTTGACAGCTTTGCACTGTTTATTTATTTACTTATTTATTGCAGTGGAGGTTATTTTCAAGAATTCTTACCACAATGTTGCAATCAATAACTTAGAGCTGTCCTACCAACATAACCTAGTTATATTTTCAGAAACTGTCCTACCCGTGAGCAAAAACATAGTCTTTCAAAGTATTTAAGATTAAAAGTTAGGGGTAGAACCAACAAGAGCTAGACAAATATTCAATTGTTTCTTGCTCATTTTGCTACTTCTAAATCCTCTCTACAAGTCTAAGCAGTAAGTGAAACTGATCAGTGAAATCAGAATTCAGAAGCTCTGGTGAAATTACTAGCATGCAAGGGAAAGGGCCAGTTCGCTGGTTTATACTTCCTGAGAATTTTGCAGTACTTCAAGTGCTATGTAAAAATGTCTTTATTAGACACGTGGTTATGTATACTGCTTGGATCTAGATTAGGAAACCAAATCAAATTACTGTAAATTACTACTGTCCAGTACCTATCACAGTTGCATGCAACACTRGCATAGAAATTTAAAAAAGCACTAGGGAGGGGAAATCAGAGGGACAATTCTCAACGTGAATCTTGGGGCCTGTCTTTTAACAGTGCTACTGATTTAYACAGGCCTGACTTTCATATTAAATGTTGAAATCTTGGGGAAAAAACACACTGTCACACAAAACCAACTCCAAGTCACTAATCCCTTGGGAACAGGTCCTAGTGCAGACAACTAGTAAAGAACCTTCCTTCCAGAGGTTAGCTAAAGATAAACAATTTTATCGTCTAAGTTAACAGGATGCTGCTTTCCTAGAACTTTTCTTTCTGACTAAGTCTAGAGAAAAGGATTTTCATGCACACACTGCCCGAGCAGTCACAACTGCTATTTACTACTACTTGGAACAAATGCCTGAATCTTATTTGATTAAAAGGGCTTCCCTGACAGGAAGGACCAAACCCCAGCGTATCCAAGCCAAGCAGCTCCTGGGTGCACTCACCAAAGGGAGGGAGGTCTTTCACCGGCACYTTCTTGCGGGAAGGGTAAAGAGAAACAGCAGGGACCTGCAGTGCYTGGTTCACTTTATGCTGCTGCTGCTGCTGCTGCACCTTCTGCTGGAGTCCTGCCCGGGGTGCCACCGGCGACGTCTCAGATTTCCCGGATCGTTTGTCTCCTGGGTTTTTGGGTACTATGGGAGAAAACGGGAGGAAACAAAGAATGACTGCTGGCTGCAAATACTGCAATGCAAATACTGAAATGTAAAGCCCTCCAAGTGATAATTAAGGAGTCCTCAACAGTGAAGTGTTGAATGCGGTAGGAYTCATTTAGAAGCAAGTGGAGAAGAGGAAAAGATGGAGATTTAATTTTCAATTTGATTATTTAAATTATCAAGCGTCCTTTGCTCTCTTTATCAAAAGAGAGTTCCTGTAAACCAACCATTGATACAGTTATCAGAAATGTGACAGGAAGTTATACTGGGCTACAGGAAGCACTACATTTGATTTACAATAGGTAGATAATTATTAATTTTTGCTGTCTTGAAGGAAGGAGAGGGCACAAGATATAGCACTCTCTCAAATCAAAATTATTTTCCATGTAAGGTCTCCTTCCTCTGCCACCAGAGWGAATCCTGCAGCAGCTCTCTGAAATGCCCAGACAGAAAAATGTCCTTGTTCACCTCTCAAGGCTGAGAGGAACATCTGGCTCCTCCACAACCTACAAGGGAACCTTTGTGCACTTCAGCATCACATCTTCCAGAAAGGCTCATCTCCTACACAGATCTACCTCGGTAACTTCTGAGATGACGCCCTTAGCATTTGCAGGTGCTTAGCGCTTACGGACGTGAGACACATTTTTCCAGCTCGTCGTCTTGTCACTGCTCCCACTTGCTCCTTGAGGAGCAAAAACCAGGGGTACGTTTATATTCTCCTCCAAGTCCCCAGGAAATGCCCCAGGAAGTGCTCACGTGTGTTGGTAGCAGGCTCGCACTGCAGAGACAGCGTCTGGAGGCTCTCCTCATCCATCTCCAGGTCCAAGTTTGCGAGATACTGCTTCACTTTCCGGGCCATCTGAGCATCTTCGTAAAGCTTTTTGGCATTAAGGAAGGAGCTGCGACGGACCCGCTTTTTATGCCCTCCTGCCTGCGCGACGTCCAGCACGGCCGCGTTTGTGCTGCCTTGGCTCAGGGACCTGCAGGGAAGACATGTGGGGCAGGAGGGGAAAGAGGGAAAAATGGGGCTTAGTCCAGACCCTCTCCATCACTCCATGATCTTGAAACGTGCAAAGGGTTGCATGAATGTCAGTCTATGGTCAAAGCTCACATGCCTCATTCCAGTAAGTCAAACAGCTATAAACAGAGAGAAGGGTAAGGGTGAGGGAATCGTTTTACTTGGTTACAGGCACTACTTTAATGGTACGAATATTCAACCTATTCCGCTCCAACAAGGCAGCATCACTCCACGCAACTCCAAAAGCATTCCAGCCAGCTCTCCAGGGAACTGGCTACTGCGGAGATCAGAGCATTAGGAAAAGCTCATGCAGCAAGGCAATGCTGACAGAAGGCTACAGTTGAGGCTCAAGTTTAAATRCAAATTTAGAAAGCTTTCCAAAAGTCTTCCACGTATTTTCTAATTAGATCATATACAAAATGTACAGCTCAGCTTTACTTAACAAAACTTCCTTCTGTGTTCCTGAGTTGAATATAGAGAGCTYCTTGTTAAATAAAACGATCAGCAAGCTAATGATGAAATAAATACCATGCACATTTCAATGTATGTATGTCTATGGGAAAAGTAAGCATGGTTCCCAAATTGCTAAGGGCAGAAATGATGGCTGAGCTGCAGTGTAAAATACACAGTTAGTTTAGCAGATGCTCTAACTTTTAACATTTGTATTTGAATCTCRTAATTGCTCATTAGTCCTAAGGAAGTTAATGGCAGTTTTTGTCATTTTTACAACTTCCTTTTTACTGAAAGTTGCTTCCTTTGGCAATTGAAATGGCTGGGGGGAGCAGGTACTCACCCCCATTCCTATCTATAATCACCCCTAAATGTTTAACAGCTTTTATGTTTTAATTTCAAAAGCAAAAGCACTCTTGGATTAAAATGTATTGCCAGATTAAAAAAAAAAAGGGTTAACAAAAAGTAAAAATGTCAAAGCATCAGAAAATTAAAGATAGAAAGTAGGAAACAATGCAAATGGAAAGGGAAGAATGAATTTCTGYGCATGTTGTCTCCAGCCACTTACCCCAAACTCCTCCATTTCTTCTTCCTGCAAGTGAGAGCCAGGAAGAGTAAAGCGTGGGTTTAAGGAGAGACAGAGAGAGATCACAAGCTCAGAAAGAAAAAGACTGGACCTCAGGACAAGCAGTTCTAGAAGSCCACAAACATTTCAAGAGAACCTTGATTCAGGCACTACAAACTCTTCTAGTCCAAATCAAGAAAAAGAGTATGCACCAAACTGGCTCTAACAAGAAGCCAAAACACMTTCGCTCCATGTTTTCTAAAAACGGAGACTTAAACTAATTGCCATATATCCCCACCTCTATTGAATCAGAACAGTAAGACTGGCACACAGCAATAACTCAAGCAGACTAACACGTATATGTTCAAAATAGGCCCTCCCCCTCTCTTACTCCCTCCCAGAGGTGCAGTCTTGTCTTTGGAATGAGATATCTGGCAACTAAGGAATAATTTAAGGTACTTTTATATACAAACACGAAAGGGAATGATTTCTCCATTTCTTAAACTGGCTTCAGTACACACAATGCATAATTTTGCTAAATTGCTAAAGAGAAACAAACTCTTTCTGAGACTGAAAAATGAAATCAGTTTTCCACACGTGCAGACTTCCTACTGAACCAACACGACTGACGATCCACTCCTGGGGAGMAATCCTTTTTTCTCCAAACACATGCACAGGTATTCATGTGAGAAACAGCTTGCTGCTACCTAGGCCTTCTCATGACTGAGGGAGGCTCTGCTGAACACAGCCCACTTACCTGGTCCTGAACATTAAAGCAGGGTCCATGTTAACAGATGCCATGCGACCAACATGGCGAATTTCTTTTGCAATCATCCGCAGCTTCTCAAAGTTGACCAGGCCCTCCACTTTGGAATCATTTCCTAGAATCAACAAACAGCAGCATCAGTTATTTGGCTGCAAGGTTAATTTTCCTTAGCTAGCTAAAGTATATATATATATGTTAAAAAGTAAAAGAGAAGTCAGCTTGCTTTTACCTTCATGAAGGAATGTAAGGTCTTTTTTGATAACTGGAAAGAGAGGAATAATCGGGGGCTGTAGGTTTTGGCTGTTCAGGACATTACGATATTTTGCCATGTTCCTAGATGGATCAAACAAGTCCTGCAGATCTTGAAAAAGTTTCTCATACTTGCTTGGAAGTTTTTCCCAGGTAGTTCGGAGCCGTGCAACTGGTGCCAAGTTCAGGCCACTTGAAACAAAAAGTGAAAAAAAAAATCAAGAACAACAGAAAGAAACAAAGGAAATCCCTAAAAGAATCTATGTGGTCTCTATATCCCATGGTTATAACAGAGTGTAAACATCTGAGGCTATTCTGAAGCAGTAGCCAGTATAAAAAACCACAGGTCATTCCCATTAGTGGTGCTGGCACCTTCCACAGACAGAGGCCAGCCTGGTTTGCATTTAGCCCTATACATCTTTCCATCATTCACATCCCTGCTGGCAGAGAGGCTGCTTTTATTTCTCACTGAGGGCAGCTGAAAAAGCTGAGCTGAATCTCCAGATTTTAATGCGTCAGAAACTGATTATGAAGGTGGATCCCTGGGGTTTGCTGCCACATCTGATCAGATGGTACTCAAGAACAGTGCCCTTCAGGAAAAAAGTGACAGTCTCAATTTGTTTGCGAGGACTTTTGCCAGGAAAGGTGATAAGGTTGCCATTTTTATATGCGACTTGCCCGAGTTTTTTCGTAACACACATCTTCTGTGGTTTTTTGTTTTTTTCTTTGTAATTTGGGACATTCTACAGGAAATAAGAACTTTTTTAAAAAAAGGTGTTTAAACACATGCATTACTGTTTCCTGTTTTTTCATTCCAGAACTGAGAAAGGTTTTCTATTTGAGACTTTTGAAACAGTTTTATTCTTATTAAAAAACTTTCATCTGCAGCATTTTGTACAACGTTGTAACCCAGCTATTGCAGCTCAGTGTTTCACCCGTGGTAAATTTAATAAACTCCACCCCGACCACTGTCTTCACTGCTTTGAGGACTCTCTTCAGATGCCCATGCTGCACAGTGGTGCACAAACACACCTTCTCATCAGGATCTCTCTTCCCTCTTTTCCCTACCAATTCAAAACGGCAGTGAAGACACCACAGCTCAATTCACGACACGGGAACTCTCTGTGAAACAAGGAGCTGCCCAGAGTCTCTTGTACACTAGGTACTAGGACCGAATATACCTTCTTTATTGGATTGCCAAGTGCTGACACGAGCACTGTTAATCAGTTTGCTCAGTTTAACACTCTGTTGAAATAATTAGTTTACTCTATTTAATGCAGTTTAGTAGAGCGATCTATTACCCCTCAATAATTTCAATTCTAGGTCAAAAGAAGTCTCAGCTACCTGATGATAGCAAACATTGAGTTGAAGTTCTTGCATTCTCTGCAGTGGAGTGCTATCTTAATGAAATGCTTAATGATCTTCATCCTTTTTAGCTGGTTGGTTTCTCTCAGAATCTCAGAAGCTACCCAGAAAGTTTCTTGATTTATCACTTCTTCAAACTTCTTCAGATTCATGCAACCTGTTTTTGATTTCAGTTTAAATAAGTCATCTATATATTCCGTAGGTTCAATATTACGGAAGAGCTCAAAGTTTCTCATGGAGAGTTGAGTGGCCACCTCAACAGTACTGAGCTGTAGCAGGGAAATTTGGCTTTCCCTTAGCAACTCTTGAGCATCTTCATCGGAACAAAGCGTTTCTGTTTCCATGTTGTTCTTCAGGTAATACCTGGAAAAAGACAAAATACCAAAAAGATTCAAGACACAATATGCAAATGCTAGTGAAAAATCACAGTAATGACCTAGTCAGAATCACAGAATAAATTCAAGTTCAACCATACTGCACTAAAAGAAATCCCTTGTAAGGAAACGAAATACTAGCAAGTCGAATACACCCCTGTTGAGCAGGGCTCTGAACCGGTCTGAGGCCTCACCTGCCACTGAGCTGTATCCTGTCTGCCAGCTTGGAGAGCTGGTCGGGAAGGCGCCGCTGCTTGATGACGCCCTCCGGCGTGACGGAGACCTCGCACAGCGAGTAGGCCTCGGCGCTGGCCGTGAGGGCAAACTCCCGCATGGCCTGCACCACCACCTCCTTGGCTGTCGTGTCCTTGCTGATCATGATGTAGCGGCTTTGCTGGTCCGCCTTGAAAACCCTCAGCACCTGGTCTGGTAAATCTGCCGAGGGAAGCGTCGCGGGCAAGGCAGACAAGTTAGCRAGGCAGAAAACTTTAATAGTATAATAAGAACAAGCAGTGATATCAGTCAGATTACATCTCATTAATAGTGCAATTACATTTTGTTTCAGTAACATTGTTTTATCTCTCTTCTGATGAAACAGCTCTTGCTTGTATGCATCTACATAGCCCCCAACTCAGCTGCATTAATGCAAGYTGACTTAGATCTAGAAATTTGATCTATTGGAGACTTTTTAACGTGGCAGATGATCCCCAAAACTTAGGAGAACTTAGATTTATAGACAAATAGGCACAGAGATGCCTTGGATTTACCAGTCATATTGGAAAAGGTCTGTAACACAAGACAGAAAATTGACTTGTATTTGTCTTCAATCTAGATAAAATGCTGATTTTAAACAGAGTTAAATCAAGTGATGAAAAGCCTKGTCTGAAGTCCTCGACAAATACTAGCAGCCCAATAAATCACTGCCTTGTTGTTCGAAGCTTTTCTTTAAGGTTTCCATTTCCACAAACCCTGTGACAAAGAGGTCAGAGCATCTTTGATGACACCAAAATAGCATTCCAGTGAGCTCTGATTCAAATAATAATAATAAAAAAGTTCAAGATAAGATTTTTTAAAAATAATCAACTAGTTTCAAAAACAATTGGGAATGAATGTCAGGTTATAGACAGGGACAATATTATAGGCTGGGATGGGACAAGGTACAGAGATAAGTAAACACTGCCAACATACAGGCAGAAAAAACTAATGAGGAGCCTAATTTTCACAGATGTTCATTTCTATGTGCCAGCGTTTTAATTATTAGAAACTGAAACAGTTAAAGACAGAAAAAAGACTTTCCAAAATGTGAGCTCTAAATACATTGCTTAAAATAACTTACAATACAAAACATAGCTAACRGTCATAAGAAGATTATTTTTAAGAAATGTGAGGAGTGATCAGCCTAGCTCCAAATTCTGGAATTGAACAATTCCATAAACTTGTGGATAGATTGAAATCTAGAACCATTAATCAACTAGAATTTCTTGGTTGCTACTATATTATAGAAGAAAATGAAGCTATAACTATACACCACCAGGCTTTTTAACACAGAATATTTTTATATGATAWGATAAAGTACTTCCAATTGAATTTAATTTCTTTCTTTTGATACAAATAACCTATTTTAGTTGCCTAGCTCCTTCTTTGAGGTTTTTATGTTGTTGTTGTTTTGAGGTTGCACATAATGGTTGTATAGGCAAGAAAACAGAAAATAACAGAAGGTCCTCTGAATTTAAAGCCCAAAATGATGGTTATAAAAACAATCCRTTCCCTTTAATAAAGCTGCTACATGAAAACATCCACTGACACAATCAGAATCTTATTTGGCAGCCTATGGAAAGAGAGACYCTACATTAGTTCTGGAAGCACCTAACACACTTTTTAAAGTTACCACTAAAATATCTATTTGGCAACATAAATCTTATGACAAATGAAAAACTGATGTTTTCTGAATATTGCTGCATGTCTCCAAAATATTAATTTGGGAAGTATTAAGGTCAATCTGTCTCACATACTGGTTTGCTTATCTGCCACAAAGACAGTTTAAAGCTTAAATATTTAAGTCTTTAAGTTACATTTAAATAAACTCATACCTTTTATACTCACAGTAATATTTCTGCAACTTGAAAAGCACTCAAGACACATTAAAATTGAGGGAYGGCATTATAATTTTCACATAACGTGGATCACTACAGGCCCTTTTCAGCCTTTGCAAGTACTGCAGTCAAAGGGGCAGACACCTTTCACAGCCAGCAAGCCAAGTGCACCTCTTGTCAGCAATCCCCTATCGACCCTCGTCTTCCTTAGTAATGAGCTGAAGAGGGATGCAGAGCAGTGCCCAGAACCACTGTTGCAATTTTGGCCATTTTGGGGAAAACGGATGCCAGAGACACAGCCAKTCAGAGGAATTATTTAAAAATGGATGTTGTCTAGATCTTGCTGTGTGCTCCTGCTACAGAAATACTGGGTATTTAAAGAAATGCTACAAAGACAAAAAGCCATCTTAGACAGGATTAAGGTGGGAGCTCCCTTAATACTTGCAAGAAGCAAGTGATCTGCTCAAGATTGCTAAAGATTCTTCATATCTGCATGTGGGGAAAGGCAGAGAACAGTAAATACAGCAGTAGCTTCTTTGCACCCTGTTTTATCAATCAATTTCTCAAGCTGCGTTCCAGTCAGAGCCAGTATCAAAAGTGCTTTAAAGCATACAGAGATGTTAGCAAGTCATTTGGCACAATGATTTCTATATAAAACAGCACTTGAAAAGAATTGCAAGCATCCTCTTCATGCCTTTTCAGCAAAGGGACTGGAGAGGCAAGCTGAAGACCGCAAAGCTTCAGGGATGGGGATGGATTCCCCCGGCAAAGCTGGTGTGAGAAGCACGTGCCAGGGACTGACAGCTCTTCATTAGCCTCTTATTTTACTTTTAATGGAACGGCAAAGAGAGCAAGCAAAAAGAAATATTGAAGTATTTGAACATCTGAAAATAAACCTTTACAGGTGTATTTGAAAAAGCCTGTGCAAAGCAGAAGAGTAGCAAAAACAGCTCGTTGCAGATTTCAAGAACGATCTCCTTTCCTCCTCCGACACTAGCCTTCCAGAGCAGCAAGCTGCTTTATTTCCCATCCTGAGGGATATTCCCCATAGCATCCAAGGAAGACAACTCCACTACTTCTGTCTTTCTTCTCCAGTGCATTCTCTTTTCTTGCAGGCTGCCTCCCTCTCCATCTTTAATTTAGCTCAAGGTAATGAAAGAAATTACAACTGTAGGCTCTAGCTTTTTCCAAGTCTTCAGGTATATAGCGGTATAAATCAACTCCTTCTATCCATGTCAGTAAAGGCCTTAAGGTACCTTTTTGATTTCAGTGCCTCTTTCTCCTCCCTTCCTACCAGGAAAACTGCTAAGAATTAATTTACAAATATTCAGTTTGTGTTTGGATGAAGTTTAGGTAAAGAGGAAAAAAAATTAATGAGAAAGCAGTAATTACTTAAATGGTTTTCATAAAGATAGAGAAAAGCTGTTCATGAGATTACATCACTATTCATCTTGCTTCCCAGAGCAATGGCAAACAGCAAAATATTTCCCATTCATTAAATTTTTCTGAACTTCATGTTTGATTCATGGAGAACAGTGAAGGTTTTCCTTCTAAATTAAGGGAATTTGTTCGAGCTTTGTGATACAGTAATTCTTACAGCTTTGGAAATTAGTCATTTGCTGTACTCAGCATTACACATACATTATGAAAACCATGCAATTCCAGGTAAATTTCAAGAATTTACACCAACTTATAGATATGAAAACGATGACAAAAAGTTAAGCTCCCATTTACAAAAAATAAGTGTGAAGTGTTTGGCACTAGACTGTAGCTAAGTTAAATACAAAATACAAATCCTCCCAGTTTCTCGGGTAGAGTCTTGGACACTGCAGCTAGTTCAGGTACCACCCACCTGAATTCTCCTTCTTCCCCAGCCCCCCAGAACCTGAGGACATGCACGTGCTTCCAAGGAGAAAGACTCTGCCAAGGCTTATGTGTAAGCACAGACCTTTGAGCACGTGCATGAAATCCCTGGGGCTCTGAGGGATACTGAATTTTAGTCCCATTTAAGAAGTGCTCCGGCTATGAGACTGTAATAACCGAGCGTCAGTACAGCTATGATCCCTGCACCCTTCTCAAGCAGCAATGTTTTAATAGGAAAGATCTGGGTACTTAGAGAAGGCTTCATGCTGAGAACCTCCCTGCAGCCCGATAAGAGCCCAAATCCCATTGCCTTTGGGAGCTTCAGTTAAACCCTTCACATAAGGTAGAAATTCCCCCATTCCCCCTCTTCCACATGCACACACCACCCACTCTGTGCCACTCAGCCAAATAAGCTCCTTTCTTAAAATCCTGTCCTGATGGAACAGAGCAACGAGCTAAAAGACTCCTCAAGTGCATCCTGCCCCCCGAAAAAGGCAAGGGGAGCAAGGAGGTGCTCACCAGGCGTCGTGTTGAAGTCCAGGATGCGGTGATGAGACTGCAGCAGGTCGGGGTTGCTGGATGAGAGGGTGCCGCTCACGGGCAGGGCGGGGGGGATGTGCTTGCTCTGCCTCAGCCCCACGATGCTGTCGTCCTGGGACTGCCCAATTCCAATGTCGCTGCATCCGCAAAGAAAACCAAAGAAAGGAGGAAAGAAAAAAATGAGTATTTAGAAGTTAAGGTGCTTCAGAGAGCAGTACTCGCTGTCTACCTTTGTCAATACCACCCAAGTATCTAGAGTGAGCAGACTGGCCTAGAGGCTCACCTGACAGGCGACCCTCACGTTCACCACTAAGACCTTGGGCGCTGCTGGGCTTGCTATATGTTTATTATTATTTGAATTTTTTTAGAGTGGCCAAGATCTTTATGCAAAAGGTGGCATGTGCTTATTCTTGCATTCCCCGGACTCTGACTCATACTCTACTTTTTTGGCACTTCAAGTTACTTTATAGTCTTCTATCCATTCACAGACGTAATTAAGGGCCTGACAGTTATCCCTGCAGGCTTGTTACAGAAAAAGCCTCCTTCTGTGGTATGAGTGACAGGAATTGAACAATGTTCTTCTAGGAAGGACGATATTGCTGGGCATTTGAGGCATATTTTTCTACTGCATGGACACCACAGGTGCTTTTTAGAAAGAAATGTCACAAGGAAAGGGTTGGAAGTTTGTTATCTTTTGTCGCTTTGTTTTAAAAGCTGGATAACCCTGTACTACTAAAATATTTTATGAAATGAAAATTTCAGGAAAAGAATCCAAGACCACCAGAAAAAGCAGCTCTAGGATTCTCCCTCGGGCAGAAGTTCAGCTGAGCATCCTGACTTCCACAGCTCCACATCCAGCCAAGCCCCACAGACAGACGGGTTTCAGAGCTCCACTTCGAGGCAAAACCCACAAACCCTACAGCATCTCCTGCCCTGGGGCTACAATTCTCTGTGTCAGAGAAAGGATAATTGTAGCTTTAAAACAAAAAATATTTTATATTTCTGTTGCTTTATGGGTACACGTGTGAGCCCATAGATGGCAAATAAATGATTCTAGATTGAGAGGGGCGACAGGTACAAGAAGTCAGAGCCCGAGGGGAGACGGTAGCCAGGGACAGGTTTCCAGACAAGCGTCACGCTTGATGGGGAGATTTCCCGGGAACCTACTGGAAATGCTGCTGTTTGCTCAATTCAGGGAGCTACTGGAAGTTAAGGGACAGAAAGCAAGACTGAAGGAAGAGATTGTTATCCCCTGCACAAAATGATTCACCCTCAACACTGGCTTAAAGCCTCATGAAGCAGCCAAGCCATCTCTATTTAAAGAGTTAAGTTTAAAAATTAGTTCTCCATGGATACTAAATGTGTCCTGCACCGCTCAGAAAACAGACAGTTTTACCCTATGCCTGGGAGAAGTCACTAGTGAGGTCTAACTACCTAACTCAGCTAATCAATAAACACACCCAAAACAGCATTTTCATCACCTTAGTACTTTGTTTTTAAGAAGATATGGAAATAGGTGAAGTCCTTTAACCTACGCAATACAGTTAATTATTAGGAAGCTCAAGACAGAAGTTTCAGTGCAAGAGGGGAAACTAAAGCACACAGGAAAGACTACAACCACACATCTCTAGGCAGAAAAGCTGCAGACAAGCAACTGAATGTCAACAAGCTTTGCAGACAAATTGCTATATATAACATAAGAAGTCAGGCTAGCAAAAGGAACCTAAAATGGGTCAGGTATATTGTTTTTCTGACTCTTACCAGAAAAGGTCCCTGCACCAAAAAAGTGTGAAAAAGAAAGAAANAAAAAAAAAAAAAAAAAGAAGAGGAAAACCAACAAGACATGTTTATGCAAAAATCTGTGAACAATGCAAAACAATGCAAAATAAATCATCCACAACAGTACACATGGCTCATCGACCTCAACGGAACAAACATACAAGACTGGTGACATAAGAGAGAACATTTAAAGAAACAACATGAAATTATATAAATAGGATATAAAAGGATATAAAGATTCTCTGCTACTGAAACTTAGTTGCTTCGTTTTAACAAAGATCTATGATTTAGATACAGAAATTTACTATTTACACCATTTACACCATAGTTTTCTAACCATCTTCCTGCTAATGAAGGTTCAGAATAGCRGTCCTTTTTCTTTAGTGAGAACATCTAATATTAGTCAAATGTTTCTTTTAAAATAATAGAAAAAAAGAATTGATTTTTAGCAGAAGATTCTTTCCCACAACAGCTGTTTAAATATATTTTTCCAAGGGCATTTAGAAAATGAAAATGAGAGAAAGCACTAATTACACATCACCCACTTGTGACCATTCATAAGGGATCAGAAACCACATCACCAGATACCATTTAGMTTTCATTAGCTTTTCTTATAAGCATTCTCAGTCTGACTGAGGAATTTAATCCGTCTCCCTTGTGGCACTCTGCAGAAATACCTACAGCCCATCAGAAGGTACCAGCAAACCTGCCTGTTGAGCTAGCCTCAAATTTCTTGTCTGGTATGCACCCAATTAACCCTTATTTTAAGAGAAAACAGCAAGTGATATAAAAATTACTTATACCATCACTGCATCTGTAAGAACTGAAAGCTGCCCACAGTGATGTCAAGATAGGAGTCTAATTTTTATAATATTCTCTAGAGTAATATCATCTGGTCTGAAATTAGCAGTTAACAGACAACATGAAGAAAAAGGTAAATATTTCTGCATATATAAATGTGTTTGCATTAACATAAGTAACAAATTATTAATGTTTAACACAAAGCAAAAATTTACCATGAAATTAAGGGCAAGACTCACTTGTATGGTTTCTGAGGCAGGATACTGATTCTAGTCTTGTCAAGGATCTTCTTCAATTTGTTTCTTCCCCCAACTGTGTTGGCTTTACTTTTCTTATTTACTTTTTCTAGTCCTATTACCTGCTCCACATCAACAGCGAGGTCTGGGATGGAGTAACGACTTGCCTTTTTAATATCACCAATTTTAGGCAAATGGGGAGCACCATTTCTCTTATCCTCTGACAACCGTGCTAAAAGTTCCTTAAAAACTGGAAAGAGAAAAAAATGAACAAACAAAAAAAACTGYTTAGCACACTCTGTTTATTCAAATACTATCAGAATTTGGATATAAGATTTGAAATAATTTTTAAGATTTAGAAAGAACRTCCATCACATGCAGTAAAATCATAAAATTGGTATAGCGGCCCAGTTTGGGAAAGAAATATACTGGATGGACTGGATGGTGGTATGGATCATGTCACCAGAAGCACTTTGACTTTTTAACTGAAGGACAAGTTTCTGCAGAATAACAGCATGCATATAAGGAGGCCATTAAACAAAAATGAGAGGAGAAAACTAACAACTGAGATGGGAGAGGTTTTTTTTTTTAAAAAAAGAAAGCACACAGATGGACAAAAATAATTAGCAACATGAACAAAAGTCAGAAATCAGAGGGGAAATGGAAATTGTAACAAGGTCATAAGGAAAGCATGTGAAAACTGTTAGACATCTTGGACGCTTGACAAGGCTGCAGTGCCCAACTGCCGGATGCACGCGCAAACACGGAGCCTTGGAAGGCTGACAGCGCGGCTGCGGCCCAATTAAAACCACAGCCAGGGACTAAAGCTGCTCCTGGCTCCCCGCTGCCCACCTGCCCTCTCCAGCAAAGGGAGGGCTGAGATACCCACTGGTGAGTGAGATGATCACCTTTTGGAGTTCTTAACTTGGCAAAAATGTTGGTAAATATGCAACACAGAACGTCTCTCTGAAGGAGAGTCCATGCAGAGTTGGGGAAAGTCATCCGATGACCAGATTCCCAGTAACAAATGAAGGTCCTGAAGTTCTGAAACTGTGCTCAGAAGGCTTTTTGTTATAGGAAAGAGAGAAAACTTTGTTTTCTCAACAGTTCCTCCGTACTAGGAGTGGAATACCCTAGATGAAAACAGCTATACAATAAGAAAGCATTTAAAGAGAGAGTAAGAAGAGCTGAATAATCAGTCACATAATAAGAGCTGGGTAGGGTCTCGAGAAGATAAATGGAGAAATAAATGAGTATTCAGCCAGTTGGCACTTACTGAACAAGTCTATATTAAATATACAAAAGCAATTTGCCTGGAAAATGAAGAAAAACAAGAAAGGCAAAGAAAGGCACAATGGCTTCTTTGGTGTTTTCTATAAAAGTAATTATTATTAAGAATTGTAGAAAAAGTGGGGACAAGGGCAAGCAGCTACRGGATGAGTATTGAGGGCATTTACACTATTTTGTCTTAAATACTTTTCCTTTTCTCCTGGTACATGACAAATTATATAGGACTCAAAAAGCTTCAGAGARAAATACATGTAAAGACAAATAATCTGAGAAAATATCTGCATAGTAAAAAAGGATGTGGGGTCTGCATAGACAGATTAGATATAAATAAAGAGACGCTATTTAAAAAGGCTCTTCTCCTTTAGAGATTTGTTGATAAGGAATATCACATGCCAAACACAGGAAGTAACTGTTCTGACACTCTGTTATGGTGCGATTGCGGTGTTTGGAGAGGACCCACAAGATAAAAACCTTAAAAAACACCAACTATGAGGAAATGAGGAAACCAGCCTAAAAGAACACATGATATCAAAAAATCCTACTGTGTGAAAGATATTTATAAAGAACTAACCCCATACATTAAAAACAAGCACATGTTGAAAAACAAGCACCTACTGATACTAAGAAATGTCTTTTAATTATTAGAATGGCAGAATATTAGCATTGTTTTCTGCGAGGAAAYAACAATAAGTTTCCTAGGAAGCATATTTGACAGGTGTCTTTCGGAGATAAATAAAGCATACTTAATCATCACTTAATGAAGTGACATCCTGTGGTCATACTTTACCCAACCTATTTGTGATGAAGAACCTGATGGTGAAAGAGAGATGTCAGGAACATATCGCTAAATAACATGAACAATCCAAGTATCCATTCTCAAAGATCAAGTTGTGAGGAGGGAAAGAGGGAAGGGAGGAGGRAGAGAAAAATTAGCACTTTCTAGAAGTTCAGGCTTAATTGTGCTTCAATTAAGCTGCCCTTCATCCTAAAACATACACTTGTGAGAGTGAAGTGACTTAGGAAGTCCTATCGGTAATTTTTCTGCAATTTCGATACATAGTGTTTAGGGTCTACTAACTTCTTTCTTTTCTTGTTCTTCCCACCTCTGAAATCCTTCAACTGCAACTTACTTTAAACGATGTCCAAACAGTAGCTGTATAAGACTCCATCTAAAGTCGGAACAAAAGTTGGAAAAAAGCATACACAACTTACCAAATAAATTGGTTTTCACAGTGATAGACAGATGAGTGTTATTTCTAAGAATTTCCATGGCTTTTGATAGCTGAATGTTTTCGAAGTTTTGACCATTCACTTCCAGTATCTAAAAATACAAACAGGTAGTGTTATTATTATTTTTTTTTTATTTGGCAGAAAGAGAAGAGAAGGGAAAAGCATTTTAAAAACACCTACCTGGTCTCCACGTTTCAAGCCCGCTTCCGTCGCTTTGCTTCCAAAATCTACACTGTCCACAAAGATTCCAAATCCCTTTTCCGACCCTCCCAGCAAAATAAAAGGCAAAGGGGCTTCTCGAGATGGCTTCGTTAAGGTTATCAATCTTCGTTTAGCTTTAGCAGCACAAGCAATATTTAACAGCCTCAAGTGTCCACCCATTTTCTACAAAAGAAAGAGAAAAGCATAAGGAGTTGTACATACAAGAGCCTCACTGCCAAACTGGCAGAAAAAAAACACATTCTTACCTCTCTCTCCAAGTTGTTCTCAAATTCCTCCAGAAATCGAGTCATAGCAGGATCTCCTTCAAAATCATTGAAGTGATTGTTCACCCACAACAATACTACCCGTGTAACCTGAAAATTAACCAAGAACATGAAGACTTTCCAGGAATTACCAGATCAGCACTACTGCTAAGTCTTTTAGAAATACTGCGCATCGGTGACTCAAAATTCACGCTTTGAGCTGGGTTGAAAGCTCAGTTTTTCACTTCAGTTACTTCTAAAATACTACTATATTTCTTTTGTTATGGGGGAAACCAGTCTGGCCAGGGGAGGGAGAGAAAGGCAAAATATCTGAAGAGCTGGAGTCACAGAATGAAATCTGATTAGTGGTTAACAGAAACATTAATCACAAAGCACTCGTGCTTCTTTGCACCTGCCCAGCACTAAAGCCTTTATATCCGCTTGTGCTGAAGATGTGGCTAGAATAGCCTAAAATAAATCCCAACATCCTCACGGGATCTATATGGGAGACGTTTTGGGTTTRTACAATTGCTAAGGAGGTTCCTACATATCCAACAGAGCAAGTGAATTTACAAGAACTGCTGAAATTCACGGCCAAGCAAATGGACAACTTTTGGAAAACAAACAGCTTTGGGAACTTCTTAGAGAGTGCACATTTCCAAAAGGAGATAACTGCTTACTGCATCTGCAGCAGCCCCTAGCCACAGTGAAGTAGGTTAGGGGTGGCATTTCTGGCATATTCAACATTTTTCTTTAAATATGAAAACCTCCTTACTTTTGGTTTAATCTCTGTGCTGCTTTTCTTTAGGGTCACCCTGGAAGATCCAGATGAAAGTCTACTTTGCTTTAGGCTACTTGCAGTTTTTTTCACAATGGCTGAGAAGTTTCAAGCCAGCCCACGTAACGTATTTTAAACCAGTGAAGCTCCAACAAGTCCACACTAAAGTGAACTAGTTACAACTTTCTATTATTTACAGCACAGTCAGATTTTGGTAGGAACAGCAGTTACCACTTCCCTGAAACAAAGCCCATCCTCTCTGCCTCATTTCAGGGCACATTTCAGGGCTTGTTGCAAGGYCAGATTTACTAGCACTGCTAGCAGGAAAGACATCTCAATTTAAAGGAATGTTGACACTGAACKTTTTGCATCATTGATACAACCCACTTTGCTTCAAATTTTCCAGAAAACATTCAGAGATATTCCTAGCAATGTACATTTGATAAAGTCACAGATAATTGAAAATAAAGCACTGCAGTGTGACGCACTCTATGGCCTCAACAGACAGTGCTGTCAGTGTGCAAGAACTGAACATACAGGGCCTTATTCTCCCATCAGGGCAGTTTTGTTTAGGGTAAGGGGTATTTAATAGCTTTTCTGTGTTTGTGGGATTTTTTTAATGCTGTGCAAGGGTCAACAAGAAAAAGGCTCAATACATTTTTTAAAATGGCTGTATTTATATAAATGGCTGTCTTTTTATATAAAGAAGTGATCACACTTCTTTTCTTTCACACAGTGATTGTCAAGTTCTGTTAATCAGTATTATATAAGGAAAATAAAGAACTCGGTTATATTGTCAAGTTCCAAGGCAAAAGAGAATTCTACTGATATTAGATTAAAAAAAAGTCCATTACTGAAGAAAAAACCTTTGCCATATTAACAAGTAATTAATTTATCTTGCAAAAACACGACGTAAAAAAATTCTTGGAATACATGAATATTTGAAATACAGTACATCAAAAACCAAGGCTTTTATTTTTTCCATATATTCTGCTTTATGTATTCCATATATTCTGCTTCCATACAGTCCATATATTCTMCTTTAAAAAATGTCACCAAATATTATTCACGCCCTTTTCAGCTATAGTCACTCTCTTGAAAAGACAGTAAATACTTATTTTACTAACTTATCTTTCAATGCAAATGATATCAGGTATCACCATGATCAGAAATCAGACAATTTAGGGAATTTTAACCTTATCCCTGAGGCTGGGGTCATTGAACCACTCCAACAACTTCTTGCCCACTTCCATGGGGCTGGAGAGAAAGGTCCGATAGGTCAGTAGGAAATCTTCTATAAACGTTGGGTCTACCACAGAGTGTTCCTCCACCAGATGCATTGTTAGCCTTTCAGCTGTTCCCTGTAACAAACAAAATCTTCTTTATTAAAATACTTTTTAAGTAAATGCCCATTTGCTGTCTGGTAACATCATGCATTAAATTAGAAAGAATAATAAGGGCATCTATTGACTGACGAACTAAGCACGCATACCAGCTTTATCATTGCAATAAGAAATTGAGTGAATTTATGTAATGAAGTTATACAGACATCGTCCAATTACCCATGTCCGTAATTCTAAACAGAAAAAACTACCAATATTAACCCTTGATTTCAAAGTTTCAGTACTTCTGAATATGTATCTCCATTGGGTCCTGGCCTTACTTGCCGAGTCTAGACGTCTACGGAGCATGCCCGACTTTGGCGAGTCTCTCCGCTAGCTTTTGCCCTTACCTTGATGACAATGTGACCTTTCCTCGTTCCCGTGCGATCAAGCTCCCTGTGCTCCTTCACCATCACAATCTCCCCTTCCTCTTCCACCTTCTGCATGTTCTTTTCCACTTGATTGAGGATGCGGCAATAATCTTGCTGGGCTATACAAACAAACTGCAAAAAGCATCAAGCGTGAGGATTAAGAGAAAGTCCTCAGAAAACCGTGCAGAGGTAAGGTGCAAGTGTTCTATTATTGTAAAAGATAAAGGAGTCTCTCAAGGCACAGTGGGCCAAGTTTGTCTGTCCAGCAATTCAGTAAGCAGATATATACTCAAGAATGATAACCCCATTGCAATTTTGCTCTTGAAAGACATTGAGATCCATCAGGGCCAAATGATTCCGCATTACGAGGCATTTTTGTTTAGTTGCTCTTAACTTTCCCTCTGCTGGAGAGGAAGGTCATTTTTCTATCTGACATTTTTTTTCTTTACATTTTAGCTGTTATGTGGTACTTAAAAGGTGTAAGAAAAAAAAAGAGGGAAAACCTTATTCTTGATTTTTGCACCTACTGTTAGTGCCAATAATCTTCATTTTTCATAGCAATAATATGAGATCAGTTAATAAGAAAGCTGATAATTATTTGTTTACATAAGTGCTGTCATACAGAAATAAATCACTTCTAGATTGAAGCAGAATGCAGAAGAAAAAAAATTCTGCCATCATCTGCTCTGCATGGTCCAAGTGCAAGAATAAATATCTTTGCAATATTATATAATTACAACCACCCACTCAAATTTGCAAAACTTTTAGACTGTATTCACAATGAATAACTTGTTAGATGTTTTAGATCTTTATTTCTCTTTAATGGGTAAACACTGAAGATTAAACTGCCTTCTGATATAAACTTGGATCACTAACTGAAAAGATATCATGTGTTTCTTTTTGCTAGACTGTAAACCGTCATGCACTTCGCGCAAAGGCATGAGCTTCACTAAGACAATATTTTTAACTGGATTTTTCCTCTTGGTACTTCAGGACAGAGAGCTGGCAGTACTATGAGACCCACTACTTGAGTCCAGTAAGGAAGGGCAGCTCCTGCCTGCAGAAATGAGAGTCCATCCAGCAGGCTAATGGACCTGGAGCTTCTCCTAAGAGAAAGTTTGAAGCAACAGATATATGCAACAAGGTGCAGGTTCTCAAYTTCTGCAGAAACTGCATAGATAAAACTCTTCACCTCAAATAGTCCCTGGATTGGACCAAGGGAATAAGATTTCCCAGGCTGTGGATACAGACAGCAGGATCYGTATTTCCCAGAACACTGGCAGGGTTATGCACTGGAGATTTTATTCATACTCCGTTTTAAATAAAAACTGTCTTTGTCCACTTAACCACATTATTTCTGTGTGCTTGTTATTTTGAATATCAAAAACCACAAAACTGATTTTTTGTTATGCAAAACACATATTTTACACACACACACACAAAAAGAGACTCTACCTGGCAATCATCCACTTTGGTTCTCATCACTCCTTTCATATATTCCTTYTCCATGGTAGGGGAAACACCAAAACTGTTTCCCATGCACAGTATCTCTGTTCTTCCATCAGGATATGTCACCTCCACAGAACCATTCAAAATGACTGACCAGGAATCCAGCTGTAAATTAAATGTTGCAGGATGCATGAAGTCTGAGAGACACTTTACAGTGTAACATCATATTACACAGATACAATCCCCACAGTTATTCTAAAGGAAAAGAGTTAAMTTTCTATCTCCTAATAAAAATGCTTATAAGCTAACCTCAAAATGTAACCATTTTCAGCTCAAGAAAATAGGAATCTTCAAATACTTAACACAGAAGTGAAATAAAATTATGTAGAACAGTATAAATTAAACRGAAAGTTTTGAAACACCAGAAGCCAGAATCAGCCCCAACAGGCAGGAAGCATTTCTATGTACGTTACAAAGAGTATTTTCTTATGCCTTTATTGCAGGTGTTTAGAATGCTGTGCAAGTGCTTCAACAGAAGGTTTTGATCTCACACTCAAAAGCAGCTTAATTTAGATGCTCGCTGCTCCTCCTCCTCTTTTAAAGGCCATGAAAGGGGCCCGTGATGCCCAGGAGCCCCGCGCAAGAGCAGAGCCAAACGCAAGGACTACCAACCTCCTCGCCATCGTTGAGCACGATGGTCCCCGCTCTCTCCACCACCGCGAACACCATCACGGCACAGAGCTCTCTCCTCACCGACATGGTCATGTTGGCGAAGGCCGGCAGCTGATGCATGAATTCCAGGAGTTGCTCTGCGGGAGAAAAAGCCCTCCGAGTCGCACACGTCAGAACAACAGAGCGCAGCAAAGACAGAGCCACAGAGGGACGCCCAGGGCTACTGAAGCTAAAATGCTGCACAATCGTTTCTGTCTGCTAATAAATCGTGCACAGCGGCCTGCTGTAATTACTGGGTATTTCGCAGGCACAGAGTGGCCGGTCATAGCGTCAATAGAGGGCCCGCACAGAGAAAGTGAGCGTAATGGAAGGGCTGTAATGAAGCCAAGAGCTTCGGATCCAGCCAATGGAATCGTAACACTCCGACCAGCCACTGCAATAATTCAATTAAAACGATRATAGGCTTATTTAAAACACAGCAAGTCATTAAAGATGGACGATTTTACAAAACCAAGCGAGCTGGTTGGTCAAGCCGTGCCTTCCGTGTCCCCTCTTAAACTGCACGTGACTGTCACATCCACAGGGCCGCCCCACACGTGACCCACGGGACGGGGTTACTGCTGCACTGGTGCCTCCTGCTAAGGCCCCTGCTGCACGCACTGCAGGGGCACCTACACCCAGCTACCAGCACCCCCATAACATGTCACTTCTTGCACTGCTCGCTGCTGCGCAGAGCTCTGTTCTTTATAGTTCTGCTGAGGGCTTCGGTCCTTAAAGCAGGATGTACTTTGCATTTAGTAGCACCTAATAAAACAGTTAATTTAACTTTTAATCTTTTTTTTTTTTTAATTTGTAATTTAATAAAAGAGAAAAATGGTTTTAAGGGGAAGTTAATGAAATAGATTAGGTTAAAAAGTGTTAAGAACTGAAGTTTGAGTTCTGTATTGCTTTGCTTTCAGTGTATTAGGCCATGTGTCAACACAGCAAAGTGCTTTTTATAAATACACCCTTATGTAAAGGCTTTATGACTCCAATATTTTCTTTTAAACACAGCGTATGCGGGAGTGTAAAACCACACACAACATCACAACATATGACTAACAAAAACGTGATGAGCACTCAGAATTGACATGCAGGCYGACTTTGCCAATGTTTTGCTAACTATTCACCATAAATCTCCRTCTTTGCTTTAGATTTTCACTTGATATTTATGAAATCAATTACAAGTTGAATCCTGAGATCTAACAGGCCAGCACGGAAAATGTTCAGCCACTCCTTGGGCATTTTCAGTTTCTTCCTTGGATACACTCATTCATTTCTTTTTAAGAATAAGCTTACAGAATAAACACTAAACATACCAAGTACAAAGGCTTCTGACTAAATTAAAACCTCAGGCTAAGGAAGAACATTTCTCTGGTGAAGGAAAACAACCTTCACAGTGTTTTCCTCCAGTGCATTAACTTACCAATGTCGTCATCCGTCCTGTCTATCGGGTCTTTCTCCAGGCAGTCTCTAACAATATCCCTACTCATCAAAGGATCCGATGCCCTTTCAATATCTTCTTCGTCATCGTCATCCTCCGAATCCACTGCTGTCTCTGGCAACCCACTGAGATCCATATCACCAGCCTCACTTTCTGTAGCCTAAATTCACATATAAAGAATTCAAGAAAATTAAGGCACTCCAATATGTTCTTCACTGCTACCATTTATTAATTAAATGCACAGAAATGATTGTTACAACCTAACAGATAACCACTCCATTCATCTATTATTTTTGATATTGCTTTTTTTCTTTATGTTTCTTTTTAAAGGAACTAGCTATGTTCATTGACCCCAAAACAATGTTTTGAACAGCGTTCAAATCTGATTTGAATCAACCATGTGCATATAGGATTCAACATATGCTTTTTCATCAGTAGRTCTGGGGAAAAGATAAAGCAGATGTATGGTAAGAAATAACTTTTGGGAATAATAGCCGAGTATCATAGATTTTTTAAACAAATCGGTCATTTAAAACACATTCCACTCCCTCCCCACCACTCTATTTTCAGACCTTTACAAATGCAACGCATGTAACTTCAAGCAGACTTAGTTTGAGGGACTATGCACAGCATCCAAATAGTAACAGAATTTTGCTATCAAGTAACCTAGGCCTTTTTATTCCCCCAGCTGAAGGTGGTTAGCTATGGCTTTTATTTATTGATAAACGCTGTAAGATCTAACAGATGAAGAAACAATGTGAAGTCACAGCTGGAAAAAAATAAAAATAAAAAACATAGATGGACTACACAGAGTGTCTGCCAAATTTAATCTGCTAGAAACTGCATTAAGATGACCAAAACTGCTCGAGGACATTAGCACAGCACCTAAAGGTAAATACATTTTAATGATTCAGTTTTAAGACCAGACATCTAATAAATCCCAGAGACATTTGTCTGTCACGGCAGATAAAGCCGCTTTTCCTTGGAACCTGATTTAATCCCGCAGCAGCTGCTAGGGCTCAGCTATCCCGATTTCCAAGGCTCCAACGCAAGCCCCTCACGAGCGGGTTTAAGCCAGGGCTCGGCAAACCCCGCTCCACAGGCCTCGCTCGTGACCTTGCCCAGCTGAGGGGCGCCTGGGGTCTGGGGCCTGCCCCACACACGGGCTCGCTGCGCGGTGCCACGAGAGGCACCAGGGCTGCAGCCCCAACGCGCCCACGTCCGTGTCGCCTGGTGTTTTGGAAGGAGAGAAAAAAATGCCAAGAGTTTCTTAAAAAGAGTAAACAAAGATGCTATGAATGAAGGCACAAAAAKGCCTGTGCTGAAGGCAGTTATTTTCATTATCTGGACCTGGAACATCTGCCCTATGAGCAAAGGCTGAGAGAGCTGGGTCTGTTCAGCCTGGAGAAGAGGAGGCTGAGGGGGGACCTGATCAGCGTGTATAAATACCTCAAGGGAGGCAGTGAGGAGGAGGGGGCGGCCTCTTTTCAGTGGTGAACAGCGACAGGACTAGAGGAAACGGCCACAAGCTGAGGCACCAAAAGTTCCACAGGAACTTAAGGAAAAACTCCCTTTCAGTGAAGGTGACAGAGCCCTGGCACAGGCTGCCCAGAGAGGCTGTGGAGTCTCCTTCTCTGGAGATTTTCACATCCCACCTGGACACAGTCCTGTGCCGCGTGCTCTAGGCCACCCTGCTGTTCAGGGGGTTGGACTGGATGGTCTCTAGAGTTACCTTCCAGCCTTAACCGTTCTGCGAGCCTCTGATTTGTGCTGCTGCTGATTTTGTTTGGCTCTCATGCATTCTTTAAGGCAGCCCTAGCCACTCTTACCAAACAACACCTACCAATTGAGCCCAGGGTTGAAATTAGTGGGGATGAGTCAGTAGACATACAGCTCAGGACACCGATCCGTCACAATCTTAAACTCCCAATTTCAGCGACTGTTACTGACTAATTCACTAGTCAATTTTGAAAATCTTCCCATTACCAGTAAATGGCATTTCTACCTCAAAAGCATGATGGTAAGACGAATGCCACAACACTAACGTATATAAGACGCTTTGGAATCCAAGAAAATTCCACGATCACATGAAAGGAAAGTGTAAAAAGAAGTTACTGGACTGCTGGAAAAAAAAAAAAAAAAAAAGAGTTGAAGCTCTAAAATAAGTCAAACAACGCTATTTTAAAGAATACTCTCACATCAAAATTAAATGCAACTTTGCACACATAAGACATTTCTAAAACATGCAACTAAAGGTTATAAACACTTACTTAAGAAGACATCTTTTTACAGAGGTACTTAAATCTTTTTGACAAATAAAGTCATTGGCAGAAACCAGAATGATAACATAACTATTTCTAGATTAATTGTTAGCCAAAAATAGAAACTAGCAAMTTTGCAACCAGTGCAAGAAATGCCTCATACACAGCATAAACCTGCTCTGAATAGAACTGCTGAACACTCTCAGGCATCAATATTGCACTCACCTCACACTTACGCGTGAGGTGTAAAACCAGGTCAGACAAGAGCAYTGTATTGCTGCGCTGCCTTCACACAGTACAACTAAATATTCAAGGTACCCTTGTGCACACTGCATTTCAAGACTGATTCATATGCTGTTATGAACAGAGCTGATTCCAGATGCTGTATTTCTCAGCAGCACTGCACTACAGTTCAGGATCCGCAACTTCACCAGAAAGCAGCACTGCACAAGCATCCATCCAGGATTACACGGGAAGTTTCAAAGCAAAGAGATGGCCTTTTATTAAAAGCCAGATAATTTCATGACAATATCGGAGTTAATCCGACTAGCTATTGGTTTTTGTATTGCAGGTTAACAGTAACACAGCTTGCTTAATGCAAAAATGCAGCTCAGAATTAAATGTGATGATCCAGTGTAAAAAGAAAATTTATAATACACCTTTAAAAGTAAGCAGTATCTTCTGAAAAAAAACAAATACAAATACATTTTCACAAGGAGCTTTCTGAAAATGTGACGATTTGTTTATGCAAAAGTCAGCAGGGGAAGGTAACCGCACAGCCTTTCCACAGAAGCAATGCATTCTCAGTAGGCAAGACCTAAGCATCCCACAAAGCCTCAGYCTGGGTTTAGACATGCAAAAAAGTTTTGCATTAGCTTTGCTACACCATTAAGCATCACCTTAGCTTCATGCCAGCACATTAGCACGTGCTAACTGATCTACAAGCGCACCGTAAATCACTCGGTTCTTCAAGCTGGGGAGTTTCCACAGGACTCTGCCCGCTCAGGGCCCTCACTTGGGACACGCAAACTTCTCCCTAATCCACCTCTGCCACCTTGGTGCTCCCTCGTGTTAGGACACKGAGCAACTGCAGCTATGAAGCAACTGCTGTGAAACCTTCATTAGTTGCCTTGAGGACAAGGCTGTCTTTWTAAACCTCAGCTGTACCTAACCAGCCTTAGAAAACCCAGAGGACCGGACAAACATCTTACGTAATGTGAACTGGAGTCAACCAGGAGCCTTAGAGATTCCCAGGGCATTTAATCAAGGATTAATACACCACTAACACACCACAGAAATGAGTGTGTTCATAGGTGCATGATGTCCTTTGTTTTGGGGGTAATTAAAGATAATGAGCTTCATTTACATACAACTCTACAGAGGTTACACCAGAAAAAACACTGGTTGGAGCTTAAACTAAAAAATAAGCTCTCCAACATCTGAATGGCAGTTGCAGTGAACATTTTCCTCTCAGGGAGCAGATTTATTTATTTTTTTTCCTCTTGACAGTGTAAAAGATGTCATGAGAAATTTGCCGAAGTTTCAGAGGAATCACGTAATAGTGACAGACAAAGATTTTACTTGTCACATCACCAAAACAAAAGTCTGGGGACAGAGACGGACATTTTCAAGCCTGATGCAAAGTTACTTCACATTAGGTAACGAAGGAGATCTCTCAGATTTTAAGCAGGACCTTGTTAGACCAATTTCCCAGTTGCATAGAAAAGGTAGCTCCAATTGCTGGGCATCTACAATACCAAACTGGCTTCTAGGTTAGGAAGGTCACCTCCTTTAGCATCTCGTTTCTTCCTATGAAGAAGTTCTTCCTCACATGGAGATGGCACTTCCTGCGTTTCAACTTACACCCATTACCCCTTGTCCTGTCACTGGCCACCACTGAGAAGAGCTTGGCCCCTTCCTCCCTACATTCCCCCTTCAAGTATTTATACACATTGATCAGATCCTCTCTCAGCCTTCTCTTCTCCAAGCTAAACAGCCCCAGCTCACTTAGTCTCTCCTCATACGAGAGATGCTCCAGTCTCTTAATCATCTTGGTTGCCCTCCACTAGACCCTCTCTAGAAGCTCCATGTCCCTTGAGCTACTTTTCCCTCTGGTATTGCAGTTACTTCTTTTTCTGCTCACAGACATGTTTCACTATGGAAGAGAAAGTGGGAAGAGTAGGAGAACTGCCTAGAAGCCTGGCTCTGTTCTGACGGGTTTCACACTTTTCCTTTCTATCCTGGATTGGAGACAAAGATTCCTGCTGATCTCAACAATATTGAAAAGAAAAGCTAAAACAAGTTAACCACATTAACTACTGACAGATCCTCACTTTTTAATATTTTAAACAATTCTTTTATTAGACTTTCTGATTCTTCTAAATGTTCCCTGAAATTTTCTTTTTTTTTTTTTYATTTTTTTCTCTTTAAAAAAAAAAAAAAGCACTCGTTTTGAAGGATAAATCTCCTGCTATGACTAATGTCACCACCTACACTGACAGTGCAAAACACCCAAATAATCGAGAGAAACGAGACAACTTTGGAAAAAAAAAAAATAAATGGAAAAAAAAAAGATGTCTGTTTTGTCTTTAAGTTGCATGGACCAAAAATGGGTTCATCAATGTCTGCTGCAGCCCTCCAAGTCCTTGAAGCTAACAGAGAAAACAGTCAGCTCGGCCCCAAAATAACTTCTCTTTTGATCATGCCACTTGAAGGAGGACTAAAAAAGAAACTGGAAGAACACTGATTGGCGACAGCATCATTTTGAGATATCCTAATTTATTTGCCATTTCTTGTTGCTGCCAAACACCGGACACTGACACTGCTTCTTCAGTGAAATTGTGTGTAAGTGTCCTATTAACTGGCAGTTSCTGCCCCGGTGACTGTGGGGCCCACGAGATGCACCTTTTCTGCAGCGAGCAAGCATGCCAGGAGTTTTGCTAAGCATCTGCTTCCAACACACTGCATAAAAGATCACAGTGCCAGATTATTATGCTTTCCAATCCACATCAATAACGACGTGATTAGTGACAATACATAAAACAATCAAGTATAGCTAATAAAGGCAGCCCACGGGAACAGCTAAGGCGGTAAACAGTTTGTTTTTCCCCACGCCACTGCAAGAAAGCCGGTGGCCAGGGCAGAGCTCCCTCCCGGCACTCGCGCTCCCACCCGGCTCGGGAGGAGGGCTGGACCCACAAAGCTCCTTCCAGGCCGAACCATCCTGTGCTCCACCCCACACAGCCTGTTTTGTGTCTCAGGAGCCAGTGTCAGCCGGGGTGCTCTCCAGGGATGGGATTATTTAAGCGCCCAGACAACCCACCCCAGGAACGCTCTTCCCACCTCGCGCCAACCTTTCCACAAGGAAAGGGAGTTCACTGACAGCAGCCTAAGCGATGGGGGCTGCACCAGGGCTGTGCTCTGCAGACGGATCATGCTGGGAATATTTTTATTTTGCACCCTGCAGTAAAGGGGGCACTGCCCGAATCCAGCACAACGCCAGCCCAAAAGATGGGGCAGGACTAAGCCACGCTCACAGGCTGAGACTTCCTCACCCAAAGCACAAGCAACAGGGATGCAGCTACACCTGGACRTGGTGACGGAGCATCAGGCACACAGGAAGCTTTTCCTAAGCACGGGAAGCGGCAGTAAAGGCCTTTCCTTGCCAAGCCAACACACGAGAGAAGCAGAAGATTCCCGTTCTTGGCACACACAGCCCACGAGCACCCAGTACCCCCTTCCTGCCCAGTCCTATTACAGTCCCACACTTATGGACTCGTTTCCTGAAATAAAAGCAATAACATTTAAAGTCCTTGCTGACAGGCACCTCAAATATTTTTTCAGGCTCTGGTGGGGTAGAAAGAAAGGATTATATGGTTCAATGTGACAAGTAATTCTTATCCTAAAAGAAGTCCTTTCATGTGCAGCGTTTGACAAACAAATTTAGTTACAGCATTAATATTTAAAAGGAAATATTCTCAGCTCAGCGCTGAAAGCGTCTGCAGGTTCAGCTTCATGATTTATTCAAAAAAGAGAAATCTAAAAAGGGCAGGAATGTATTTTCATTGCAAACAGCTCCTCTTAAGGCTATTGAAATAAAATGTACTATGATGCAAAACATGACATATCATTAACTCAGATTTCAATAGTAAAGACCTAATTAATGGTATGATTTAAGAAAGAAAAACATTTATCTTATTCCTTAGTTGTAAGATAAGATGGCAATCTTTCAACGGCAGTCCATTCTACTCAGACATAATGAGCAGAAGTCCGTTCTATTCAGAAGAAAAAATGTCATTATGTAYAGAACATGAAATCAGAAAAACAACAATACTAAGTTTTGTCTAAGACCCATTAAAATAGAAGTACAAAAGAGAATAGCTAGATTCTCTTGGTTTATTGCTTCCAAATAAAAACTTGGGAAAAATTAAAAGGCAAATAATCGGAGGGAAGATGACTGATCCAAAGCCTCAGTTTCAAAAAGTAACTTCTACTTTATTTCACTTTTGTTTCACCTCAAGAGAGTTCAAATTTCTGCAGCAGTTCTATTTATTTTTGTGTGGTTTTTTTTCAATGCATTTATTTAACCCAATTTAACCTGAATATGTCTATATCACACTCCTTTAGGAATGGAAGTGAGTTAAGAAATGAATGATTTGCTGCAATGTGAAAAAAATCTTTAAAAATGACAATATTCAATAGGCAAAGCCAATAATTTAAGCTTAAGAATAAGATTATCTTTAAGATTATCATTTCCACACCTGAATTCATCAATTCTTTTTTTTTTTAATAAATACATCTTAAAGTGTAAGAATTAACCTGAAACATAAGGTTACGTCCTAAATTACTTGCTCACATTTCTTAATGYCCATACACACAGGAATTACGTTAGTAATTATTTCGACTTATTGTACAATTACATTTATCTGAATATATCTGTGCCAAGACATCTTTAATAAGGAATTAATTGCAAAGTAATTAAGAAACCCAGTATTTTTCTTAAGATCACTAAGAATGACAAAGTGCCTCAGTGAAAAGTAAGTATGCCTTAAAAATGAATTTAAAGTACAAGGTAAAACAAGAGAAAAGGCATGGTTTCCCCATCTAAAAAGTTCACAAAATTAGTGGTACCACCCATGCTGTTAACCCCATTGCTGTAACCAATAACTCCTGGGGAAGACTTGCACTAGATACAAGAMGACACACAGAAATATTTTTCTGCAGTTTCTATAGAAGTATCCCCCACACTCCCAAAATTCAGCAATGTTTTTTAGAGTCAAAAGGGCCTTGCTGAAACTTTTTGCGAAAGTTTTCCTTCAGCTCTTCTGGAAAAGCAGCTCTATGACTGTAACCTACCTAAACGCCACCTACAACTGGGTCCCTGGAGGGCCCTGTTATTGTTATGTTAAAGAGCAAAATCTTTGCAATGAAAGAGATGAAAATCTATAGATTTAAATAACAAAGCCAGTTTTACACCTTCATCCTCAGAGTATAAACCTAATCTTGTCTCCAAGCAATCTTCTGCTCAGAAGAAATTCTGACAAATACACTTGACTGACACACACTATGCTTAAAATGTACGGCTATTTATTTATTTAAATAAACCTTGGAGTTATGGCAGCTACTAATAAAAGCAACCTGAAATTGTTGTAGCCTCCCTGCTCCCCGGAAAAGCCGCCAGGTGCATTCACCCAGAGCAGAGCACGTGCTCTGCGTGGCACCCGTTCCAGCGGGGCTCTAGCAAGGCCAGGCAGAAGCCCCCGATGTGCAGCCTGTACAAAGCAGCGAGCCTGGGCTGTATGTGCCACACACAGCAGCAGCCCTCACAGCAACTCCAGCCCTGCACAGATGTATACACGGGGCTTTTCCCATTATATAAATGGCCACATTTACTCACAGGGACTTTCTAACATCTTAAACATCATTCCTTCCCTAGCAAACAGTACTGTATGGAGTAATAAGTCCAAAAGAAACCCAAATGGTATGGTGGGTCTTTTTTTTTAACCTTTTTTTTTTAATATACATTTTTTTTTAATAAATCAAATACATTTAATTAAGAATAACAAATTATTGTATTTCCCTATCACAGGGACAAATCCTTGCCTTTGAAGTTACAGGCACTGCAAAGATCAAGAGCAAAATCTTGACCTTCCCCATTCATTATTTCAGCCGGGTTTTATTTTTTTATTCTTCCTAACTTGTCTTTACATTGTAAACACCTCCCACCAAACACTGCAGGGATCCTTTGGATCAGTTGTACAGCAAGCCTCTCAAAACCCAGACTGCCTCAAACGGAGAACAAGGTTGTGCCTCGAGAAACACGAATTTAAAAGGTCTCAGCAGCTGAACCCCCAGTTCTCGCCCAGGTGTCCAGGGGCTGCAACTCCACCCTACCAAAATGCTYAGTCTTTCCAGGGGGAGAAATGGCACTTGCCCCTCGAGCCAGGCCTGCGTGCACACGTCTTCCTCCCTAACGCTGAACGGGGTCCAGTTTTGGAAGCTATCGAGGCATCGAGAAAAACCCTTCTCATCTTAGATCCTATCAAACCTTTATAGTTTCAAAATTCTGATCTAGCTTTTGATAATAATACCCATCTCGCGGGCTCTTTTCATCAGCACATCCCAAAGGCTTCTCCAAACAGCAGCAACCCTCTGCTCCCGTCTTGCACATGGCAAACCAGACACAGAGAAAACCAAAGGGAAACGCTGTGCTGAGGAGCAGAGCCCCTTATCTCTGATAAGGGCCACGCTGCCTTTCCACGATGAAATCCAAGCACGTTTGCTCTCCAAAACGCTACCAAACGCGAGCAGCCCCCGGAGCACATCCCACATCTCCGCACTTCTCACAGGGGCGATGAGGGCAGCATGTGTCACATCCTGGGGTTCAGGCTGCACGCTGCATTTTCAAACACCACCCCTAGCAAACAGTGCAGAAACCCCTCCGAATACGAGCACCAGAGCAAAACCAATTTTTGAAGCCTATTGATTTCTTTTTTGGGCAGCTGGAGGCCGACAACAGGCAACCGTGCGGCCTGCGGCCCGTCGTGGCAAGCGCACGCCGGCCCTGGCTGCTCCCGTGGGCGTCCGGGCCACTCTTACCTGGTAGATATCAGAAAGGCTGCTGCTTCCCGAATCACTAGTGATGCTACATCCTGAGTGACTCGACGAAACGTGGGTCACCTGTGGGTGGAGACTGTCAGTAAGGTGCAGCTTTGTGAAATCTGCAGGAAGCTATAGATGGAGCAGAAAAAGCATCATTACAATTTGAGGTAGAAAACACAGCAAAAGGACTTTAAATCATTCATGTCCCACTTTACTCCCTGCCAGCACCAACTGCTTTAAGGAAACCGCTGGGGGCTGTGAATGCAGATCCCAAGTTGGAGACTTGCGGCACTTTTTAATTCATTCAGAGGTCAACAAAATATCACCAAGGGCTGCAAGCACTCTAGRAGATGCTAAAATACACAGCTGAGGGCAAAGAAACTATTAAGTCACAGCCCTAATGACCAAACTCTTTAGTGTCTTGCTATGGGGTGTAGATGGAACTAATAGAGGAATCTTATACCAGTGTCAACACCCAAAGAGAGCAACCGCCCGCCCGTCACACCGCCCTGCCTTGGGTTAACTCTGCAGCTTTTTCACTTCATAAAGTCCCTTAGAGACAAGCAAATTCCAGGGCACTGAGCTGCCCCGGGGCCAAAGGAGACGAGGGCAAAGCGGGAGCCCCCGGAACCTTGGCAGCTGCCAGCCTGGCACGCGKTTGCTCCTGCTGCTGTGGGAAGCGGGAGCCCATCCGGCCCCAGCACGGGGCTTCAGAAAACAGCCACCTGAAGCAGCCAGGGGCTGAGTAACCTCGCTGCTGCTTTTGGTCTGGGCTTAAGGAACCCGCCTGGCCTGAACCTTGGCTTTAGGACGTGGGATGGCAGTAGAGGCAGCGCAAACCCCCCCTATCCAGCCCGCTGCCCTGAGTTCCCAGAACTGGCTCTTGTTCCTTTTCCTGAAGGAGGAGCAGCCGCCAGCAGCTCCAAAGGGCTTCCAAGAGCCCAGAGCTGGATTTCATATACACAAGCTAAGCAACAACACGTGGGTAACACCAGCACAGACGGCCCTGCATAATGCCTCCAGAAAAAAARRAAAAAAAATCTAATTACCTTCACCATTACTGTTTATACAGCCAAAAAGAGAAAATGCAGTAAAGAGAAGGGATCACCTATACCCATTTGCTCTGCTGCATCCCTTTTTCATCYACACATTTCCTTCAGGGTGAAACTGAAGATTATTTACTGGTAATGACGCCATTGCATTCATTTTTGACCATGCTTCAGACTAGTCGGCAATTAAATACGCATTCCATAGGCAGAATGCATGGGCAGGGAGTCACCACTACGGACGTGTCATTCACTCTTCTAAAGGACAACAGCCTCAAAGAATTAAAGTAGTCCGGGTTTGTTTCCAAGTGGAAAAACKATGTATTATTTTAACATACCTGCCCAAACTACATTAGCTCCAGACAGCTAAAGAAAAAATCACCCCCAAAAGTAATATATTGAGACTTCTGCCTTTTATAAGGCAGGAACTACTTCAATCACTAATAAAAAGCAGCCCCAGAGGGGAGCAAGCGTCAGCTCAGCTTGAGCACTGCCAAACGCGTTACTTTTGCATAATATCTTTCAAACACATCAGCAACAACCGCATTTATTTCATCAACGCAATCACAGCTCTTAAGAACCTTACACCAAAGCAGACCCAAGCAGTGAGACCAAAAATTAAACCAGGTTATCTTTAACACATAGCTCCACTTGGAAATGTTTTAAACCAAGAGCCAGCGTTTCAGCTCTGTTCTTATGCAGGCAGCAGGAAGAAGGCGCCAGACCCCACAAAATCTGGTAAACTGCAATGCAATCCAAAGAAACCTTGGGGATATTTAGGAGGTTGCAAACACGTGCAGCCGAAAGCCAAAGCCGTTGGCCATCCAAAGCGCGAGCCCAAGCTAGGGAGCTCGCCACGAACACGAGCACATGGTCATCAACAACAGGTAACTTCAGCAGGACGGACGTTATTGTTATTGTGCAACTAAATACCCTTTATCATTAATTTTTTTTTTTTTTTTTTTTTTTTTTTTTTTTTTTTTTTTTGGGCACTCACCATTTCTACCCAGCTAGCCTTTCATTCCAGAGTTTAGTACTGACTAGAGCAGCTAGTGTCACAGGAAGAATAAAGGTTTTCTTGTAATGTTTTCAAGTGAGTCCAGCCTATCTATAATGCAAGTTTTGTGCTCCCGAGCATGTGACAATGCAAGAAAAACTAAGTACACAGTGTCTCCCTCAATAAAATCAGCTATAATATCAGCTCAATAACACTCAGCATGCTGAAGACAGCACAGGCAGCATCACTTCTTGCTCTGTATTTTCATTAAGTGATGGCTAGTTTTAAGAAGTCGTTCAAAAAATGAGGGAAAAAAAGCAACTTTTAGACAACGCACATGTGATTCCTGTGAGAAGCCCAGGACTAGAGTGCAGATCTGAGGCGGCAGCCCCTGGGCGGCTTCGCTGCGTTACCGAGTGCTCCTGGTCACAGCACCAGCAGGCGCCAGCAGACGGGATCAAAACGCGGCAGTCTGATGTGGAAAAATAAACGCGTGGCTCGCTCTTAAGCAAATGCGTTTTCAAAACATATAACATCTACATGATATTAAATAATTAAGAGTCAGATAGCTGTGCTGTTAGCTGCTATTTCGAGAAAAAAACTTGCAAGTGAGAAAACCTTAGGCTCTGTACGGAGAGATCTCATCAAGCTTACCGTAACAACAACAACAAAAATAATCCAAGTTTTTAATCCAAAGCATGAACTAACGACATGCTTAATGCCAAAGATGTAACCTTCATGTGACAGAAGTCAAAACAGTATTTTATACTCTTGTGCACAGCTCTTAATAAGGGTGCCTGCACACACACCTAGAGAGTTTATATGCACATTTATATATACACACACACATGTAGGTGCAGGTGTCTTTATATACATAAATGCATGTGCAGGTGCCTTTATGTGTATATATTCACACGCACACAGGTATCTATATATGCACAGAAGTACCCACACCCACAGCTGAGGAAGAACGGCGTATCCCCGGACTCCACGAGCTTTCTTCTGGAAAACAATTAAACCAAACCAAACAATTATGGGAAAGCGCCCTACGGACGGCGTGTTATCTCCATTTTGAAATGTGCCATATCTTAGAGCACATCCTCGCTCTTCTTATCCCCAAGCAGCTTTATTACTTCCACCCTCGAGGTGAGTCATCCCTCCCAGGCGTGCAGGGAAGCCAACAATGACTTGGCTCTGAATAGGGGGCTCCTATTTTAGGAACCTGGTGATTTTCTCCTCCTCTCCAGCGAGCTCTCTGCATAACAAAAGGCCCTGCACGGAGGCAGCTCCTGGGGTTACGCTGGGCCCCTGCTCCTCACCAGCCCCTGCAAGAAATTTAATTCTCTGGGCTTTTAAGAATAAGGTTTTTTAATATATAAAAACAAGTACAAATGTTCTTAGAAGGCAGCGGTGCCCAATTTCCAAATATAATCTTAACAAACACCTKGGTAATTCTGCTTAAGGAGCTGCAATGGACAACCCGTGTCTGAACTGCCGCTCTGTCAAACGTTTCCGACCCCGTTTCGGACCACGGCCTCCTGCGAAAGGCTGCTCGGCCCTTTAGGGAGGGTTTATAAAAGCTGCAAAGCAACTGCAGCTGAAACCGGGAATGCAAGGGAACGGGGCGCAACGTTCACCTAAGCAATAAGTCCCCATGATTGATCCTAAAATGTTCTCTAACATTTTATTTTTCTGTTTTATGTAAGTATTTATTTTATATTAAAAGTCTGCAAAGCTTCTGAATTCTAATGATATGTGCAGGTTTATGGTATTTAATGACATATCCTGAGAAAAGGAAGAAATATCTGCAACAATGGTGACTATTCTTCAGCTTGCTATTTAACCACAATTCTTTCACTAACCAGGAGAGCCACTAAGGAGAACATTACTTTTACAGTTCAGTGATTTAAAATGCAGCAGTCAATATAAGTAATTACAGAATAATAAAGTAATTTCTATCGATTTTGTCCTTAGACATGATGCGGGCTGACATGTCCGCTCTAGGGTTAAATTCAAAATAAGTTTCAGCTCTGCACAATTCCAATTRGGATGCAGCTCCCATGGAAGCTTCGCTCCCTTATACTCGGGAGTGGGATGGGGAAAGTTGTCGGGAGCATGTGTGTATTTTCTCTGAAAAACCCACTGACAGTAAAGTGCTTAAGACACGAGATGAAAACCTCTCGCTTTTAAATTATGTATTCTRTATGATTCAGGTAATGCAAGGGCACACAAGATATACGTCATATTTTGAATCTATTTTCTTAATCACCCTTACCTTTTAACCCTTCTACCTGGTGCCAGGGAGGACCCAGACCCTCCAGCGGTGGCTTCTTCCCTCAGCAGCGTTTCCACCACGGACCCGACGTGGTGTTTCACACTGGGAGATCCTGCATAAATGCTAGTCCTGCAGCAAGTGTGAATGCTAATTGATTGGCAACCACTCAGGAACGCCATAAAAAAAGTAAAGTAGCAGCATACAAGTCTTTCTAATGACTGTGAAGCAAGAATACAAAAGAAAAAATGCCTGATGTATTCATAAGCTTAATCAAATACGAACTGAGGACTGAGGTTCACATCTGTGAAATTCCCAATACCAACCATTACAGTATGCTTAAGCACAAACAGCAACAATCCTGCAACGTCAAAATAACTGTATTCCGAAACGGCTGGCAGGCAGAAAAATTTCTGCTGAAACGCTTGACCACAACGGACAGAATCCGTGCAGGTTTTGAAGTCGGGATAATTCTGCCTTAGTGAGACCTAGAGATCAAAGTAGAGTCTATTCTGGGACTGTTTTGACTGTGGATATATATCTCAGACCAGACAACTTTCTATCCAGTTACTCAACTGTATGGGGAAACATTAGCTGCCGTCATCTCTCAACATCTTCCAAGAACTAATTTCCCAAGAGAGGAGACACATAACTCATGCTACCTTACGTAGCACTAATACCAAAACGATGCCGCATTTGATGYGGGGAGCACTGCTGCGTACACACTGCAGGGATATAATTTCCTAGTCGTTAGGCACTAACAGCTCCACAGGCCTCCAGAGCAAAGCCACCTGTATCTTTATTTCAGCGGCTC